CTATGCCATATTTTACCATCTAATTTGCTGCAGCAGCCAATCTTTTTTTCAGTGCACTTTTGAAGTAAAGAAGCGATATCAAATAGCAATATAAACAATGTGTAGAGAGTGAATAAGTTTGTTTCATAGTAACTATATTTTTATATTACGTTTGTTATATCTACAAGATCACAGGTGCAGGTCATGGTATAGGAAAGGAGTTGGCGATTCAATACGCGTGCTTAGGTGCGAAAGTCGTGTGCTTAGACATAAACAAGCAAACTAATGAGCAAACAGTAAAGGAGATTAAAGAAATTGACAAAGATGCATATGCATATGAGTATGTTCCAAATTTATTAATAACAAAACATTTCACTCTAAATCTGTAGCAATGAAATTTCACTGCATTGAATTGAAAATTTCATTCCAGGCGTTAATGCAATTGAGCCAGTGCTACTGCCAGTGAATCTTACTGCAAAATGGGAATAGAAAATCCATTCAATAATTGAAGTAAAAAATTTACTCCAAAAAGAAGTGAATTTGGAGGTTAAAATAATGACAGAATAATGTCATTCCAAACCCAGATAGCAAAACCTACGGAGACAGATTTTGAGCAGAACAAAAAAAATAAATAAATAATTTTTATCTATGTTTGAATTCATCACGCACAATTATACAAAATATATCAATTTGTCTTCTCTATTATTATATGCGTCTATGAAGATGAATCTCGTCCGTAACATTTATATCAAACGTCAAACGACATAGCGGTGCACTATATCGCTAAATTCACTCCTTGGAGTCAATGCATCTTGCAATTATCAACTGAAGGTGCCTTTTTATGTTATGACGCTCGACGCTCATTTTCAGCATCAAAATAGGTCACGTGATCAAAATTGGCGCTTGATATTCGTCAATCTGGAGACACGGTAGTGTCTCGGCGCTAAGCCAAGCACAGCGACACTGCCATGCCTCCTTTACGCGAACCGACGAGTTGCGGCAGACTGAGGGTGATTTTACATGCAGCACGGTACGCGGTAAAGTAACTATAAGGTAATTAACCTGAAAAGTTCATGTAAATTTCTTCCAAGTGGCCAATAAAGCGCATGGTAACAAATATAAATATAAAACATAGCCATAACTTTATTCATTGAAATTTCTGCATACCTCTTCGGCTGATTTCTTATTAGATTTAATAATGTTATCATGGCCATCAACATCATATCTGCAGTCTCCATGACGAAAACCGTCTTTAATTAATGCGAAAATCGTTTTTTTCCTGCCGAACTCCGAACTCCGAAATTATTTCTCTTTACTTGGCAGTATACACAGTATATACCTGTGCTAATTTCTAGTTATGTACCCAGCCGACGCCGACCATATCGTTATCGTTCCGCCTACTTCTTTTCCCACTATTACATGGAGCGCGGAAAGGCGGCGCACGGTGTAGTGACAAGTTCACATTTGTATGCATTTTCTTAAATGTATTAACTTATTTCTATGCACATTTTATCAATACTCTTATTTTTTCAACGAATCTGCTTAATAATTGCATTTAAATCTATTAATTTCATTAAAAAGTGCATAGAAACGTCAACTTGTTACTAGTCCGTGCCGCTTTTCCGCGCAGTTCCTGCTCCATGTAATAGTAGGAGAAAATTAGCGCGGCTCACCGCGCGCGGTTTCTAGTTACTTTACCGCCTACCGCGTACCGTGCTGCATGTAAAATCACCCTGAGACAATCGGATCTCGGTAACGGCTGAACTGATCAGGTTCTATATACGCTCAATCGATAGGCACCACATGGAGTGTGTAATAAAAGTTTTATCACACTTTCTTTTCACGCTTTTATTTTTTTTCTACGTGTCCTACAAGCGGAGATATTGCGATGTAAAGTTCTAAATGTCTAAATTTCATCATCGTTTTTAAGATACGTCGTTATTGTCATCATTGTCGTCGATCAGGAAAAATGTATGTCCCGTTTTTTCGATAATATATGGCTTTTGACTTAACCAAGCGATGACAGCATTGCACATTCGAACGTGATCAATCACACATGACGGCTGTGATAATCAGCGATGGCAACATTGTCATCACATATATACAATAGGCAATTTTTGGCGTGCTTCTGGTATAGCAACCAAAAATTGGTAGAATAGCAGTTTTTTTCAATACTTATATATCATTTAGGTTTTATCATATAAATAGCTTTTTTCGATGATTAGAGTTAACTAAATAATAAAGATAGTACCGCTTCAGTTTTATAATAGATATCATTAAAATTAATAATAAATAAATAATTAACGTAACAGAATTTAACTTGGCGCCTGTTGTTGATATCAAATCTTTTATACACATGATACATATCATTAGAGTTAAATAAAAATAACAAAGATAGCACTTGGGTTTTATTTTTTAATTTGGTAGAATTTAACTTGATAAAGATAGTTCTACTTGGATTTTACTTTTTAATTTGATAAAATTTATCTTGGTGCCTGTTGTTAATATCAAATCTTTTATACAAATGATATATTTGAAATAAATAAATAATAAATAATATGGATAGTATCACTTGAGTTTTACTTTGTAATTTTATAGTCTTTCTTTTACAAACATGATACATATTATTAGAGTTAAGTAAATATGTGTCATTTCTATCACGTGACTTATTTTGACGCCGAAAATGAGCGTTAGCATGAAAAGGCTTAAACTACTTCGATTGATCGAATGAAATAGTCCACTCCTTTATGTACGAGTAGACAAATTAACTTTAAAGCAGTGAAAATCTATACTTAAAGCAATGACTTTGCTACTTACTTTTGTTAACAGTAAAATTTTCATTGCTACAGAGTGTTCTGTTAGACAACAAAAGATCTCTAATTTTGTTTTACGTCTCTTTCTTTATATTTAATCAATATAATTAATTTATTATTTTACTAACATCGGCACGCGCATAGGATAATATATTTATAGTATATCGAATAATCAATTAAAATTTTGCTTATAGATGTGACGTAACTAAAAGAGAAGATGTTTTTGCAGTAGCCAAAAGAGTAAAGAAAGAAGTCGGTGATGTTACAATTTTAGTTAACAATGCCGGAATAATGCCATGCCATGCTTTTTCAGATCATACGGTCGATGAAATCGAACAAATATTCAATGTTAATGTGTTAGCACACTTTTGGGCAAGTTAAAATTGACTACATAATAAATATTAAGTTATGTTTTGCTCTTGAATAAATGATGTTTTTTTTTATTTTATGTTTCTTCAAAATAACTATTTAAGGATTTTCAATAATCATAGATTATAAATTTTTCTTTCTCAAAAAAATTAACTTCAATTATTCTAAAATATGCAAAATGTAACGCGCATAATATTACACATAAACTACTATACAATTTTTTCAGATGTTGCAAGCATACTTGCCAAGTATGATGAAACAAAATTATGGTCACATCGTTGCGTTGTCATCGATAGCAGGCATTGTAGGATTTCCTAACTTAGTTCCTTATTCCGCTACAAAATATGCAATTCAAGGTAAATCTGATTTTTTCTTAAGGGCCTTAAATTATGCCCATAATACTAGAAATCACTCCATGATTCGCATTTCGGACAGAAAAAGAATTAACAAATAACGTTAACGAAACAATTCGGTCACAATGACAATGCGATTGATCAATTCTTTCTCCAGCCGAGATCTCGAATCAATTTCTGACATGATGGATACAAGGCTTTATAATCTATTCTTTTTTTATACTATATATATTCAGCATATATATTCAGAACTTACGAAAAATAAATAATTTAACTTCACAAATATTTATCTAAATGCTTCCGCCTCACGTATAAGATTCTATTTTCAGGAATGATGGAGGCGCTTGAAGACGAATTACATGTATCTAATAAGGGAAAGTCTTTAATCAAATTCACTACTATCTGTCCTTATATGGTAGATACGGGACTTTGCAAAAAGCCAAAAATAAATAGAATGTACGTTTTATAGAAAAAATTAATACAATTAATTCAAATAGATAAATGTAATCACGTATGCAAATATGACAAGCTGGGGTATTAAGATTAATAATAAGCATTTCTATCGTAGGTTGGAAATATTTTTACAACTAAACTCACCGAAGGATACAGCTGCACAAATAATCAAAGCTCAACGACAAAATATAAGAACAAGATCTGTACCATCATTTTGGTTTCCACTAATAAATTTTATTAGGTAATCAAATTGCAATATTTACATACATATAAGTATATATTAATAATCTGATTTACAATTGATATTATGCAATATTTAGTATATCATAGTGTTCGCATAGTATATTATATAATATTTATATCCTTACACAATGTTTAGACTAAACTCAGTAAATGTTCAATATGCTAATTATTTTATATCGGCATATTATGTTCAGACTCATATAATTCATATTATTAAACATGTGTGCTCGTTATCGATTTACTTTCAACAATTATTTCCGTTGACAATTATTCTGTTCAAACCGCGCTTGTTACCGGTACCGACACTGTCAGAATTCATGATAGTTTTTCTACCGATCAGCTGTTTAATTCGTGTCACACGATATATACATTCGCAACTTTTTCTTTGTTCTCGCGAAGCGAAGGATATCTCTCGATACGTGTGTGTACCTATCGCTTAACGATCAAGTTCAGTTGACTTCGAATAAAGCTCAGCAGCACATCTCATTGTACATCGCTCTAATTCTCTACTCTTTTCGACATCTTCTGACTCCTCGTGATTGTTCGCGTATAATTCTGACATCACCAGCGGACCTGGTTTCCGATACCACTTTCTCTTCGCAATACTCACAACACACACATGTATCTTAAATTGTGATATCAAATATTTTAAATAAATAGTCATTCAATGCTCGATTAATTAAATTAAAATATACAAATTAAGGAGCTCAGAGCAAAAGCAAGATATTGTTAGTTATCGTATAATAATAATAATAATAAAAATTACCTATATTTAAGTAAAAGTATACATACGTTTCGACCTTATATTAGTCATTTTCAATGTTACATAAATAAAACATGTTCTATCTAATCAACAGTTAATACAAAAAACTGACACATACTAAATATTCCGAGGGGGTAACCACTTAATGTAATCGTGGGACAGAGTCCTCGAAATCATTATAAAATTCATATAAAATCTCTATGTATAATCTGATAATTACATATGCAACCACGAGAAATCATTGCATAATATTAAATAACGTCGTATATTTTACCAAATTATTTCATATGTAGTGAAAAAAGTTATTTGTAATCAGATGAAATCATATGAAATCATGTAATCTGTGGGATCATATTTCAGCTAGTGGTTACCCCCTCGATATATTCTCATACATTTAAGCGCTTACAATTTAACTTTAAAATTTAACTCCTGAAGTAATAAGTTATAAATGACCATAATAGTCCATGAAATTCCAAAGAATTGGATCACATCTTGACTGTATAGCGTACAAAGTATAAAAATTGACTATGATGTTGTTCCAATGAATTTGATCATTTCTTAAATGTATAGCGTACAAAATATCAAAATTGTGCATGATGTAAATACGATAAAAGTATTAAGCTAAATAACGTTTAAAATTATATTAAAATGTAATTCACAATATGGTAAATTCAATAATTACAATACTTAGGTAGATACTTGTATCTCTTCAAAAAATGACGATAATAATTATGTAACATTGAAAATGACCTAATATAAGGTCGAAACGTATGTGTATATTTACTTAAATATAATTTTTATTATTATTATTAAACGATAACTAACAACATCTTACTTTTGCTTTGAGCCCTTTAGTTTGTATATTTAAATATTTTAAACTTAAATATTTATTTATCCTAAAGCCGTCTGTATTACCGACTAAATCGTAATTTTTGTATAACAAATACTTTTTTCCTCTTTCACAGATTCTCTCTCTCTCGAAAATCCTTTTCCAGAATTAAAGTATACACATTAATACGTGTTTGTGAGGTGGAATTTATGCCGAAAATGACAAAAACTTTTTCTTAAGATTTCAATTTCGAAATTTTTTGTTGTTTTCGGCATAAATTCCACCTCAAACACGTATTAATGTGTATACTTTAATTCTGGAAAAGGATTTTCGAATCTGTGAAAGAGGAAAAAAGTATTTGTTATACAAAAATTACGATTTAGTCGGTAATACAGATGGCTTTAGAATCCCCTAGAGATCCTCAAGTAAGAGATGCGCGAATTGAAATCGCTACGGGATTGGTTGATGACGATTTTGCAAGAATATAGCGCAACCAATGGCGCAATCGTATTTTATTTCTACTTACATAACATAAAACGTGGCAAACATAAATCTAACTAACAATAAGTGAATATATATAATAATATTCACTTCGCTAAATTTATGTTTGTCGCATCTTTACTTTACATATTAAAAAGGGAGTACGAAAAACGTAATGTAAAAAGCGTAATGTTCACACATGTATGATTTTATTTAGAGAAACTATTATTTTGTTTCGATAAACTATATTTTGATAAACTATTATTATCAACAATTTACATAGAATACAAATAAACTCAAATAAAATAACATTAAAACATGCTTTAAATAAAAAAATATTTTGAAAAATAATCTTTTGATAAATGTAATATCACTTATTTACTTAATTCCTAAATGCATCGCCATAGATTCGCTACTATAATACTTATCAGTAATTTCTTTATTGGAATTGCACATTTTTGCGCGAAACATGATAAATCTATCCATTAATTTTGATGATAAATTATGACAATCCTTTATCACAAAACAAGTAATTGTACTCATTTTAAAACGAAAGAAACTTTTAATATCTAAATCAATATTTTCATAATGAATAGAAGATAACTACGCATGACATTTTCCATTTCCCGAAAATATTGAAATACACTTTCGTAAACAAAATATAAAGTGTGTTCTTTATAGCGCTTTAATCGAACTAGTTTTGCATATTCATAACTTTGTTCATTAGTAGAACTAGCAGAAATTATACATTGATTGCACACAGTGCTAATCTTGGAAGTACTGTATAAAATATTTCCAGCTATATAATATAACACATTTAGTTCAGTGTCATCATCAAGATTTAATAACGGTATATTTAATTCGGGAAATGTTTGCAATGGTAGTTTTGTAACAGCTGGTTTATGTATATTTAAAAAGCTCCCAAGAAACTTGCAATCATCCTCCTCATAGCTACTATTAGATACAGTTTTCATATATTGAGATACAGTTATTTCTTTTAAACAGTATTTAAACTGGAGAGCATTAGGGATTGGCTGTTTTGCTCAAACCAAAGAAAATAAGTTTTCTACACAAGATTGTGTATTTTAACCTGCCTGCTAAGACGAACAATTAATCTTTTCCTTCAATAAATAATCAGTTATTTCAATCACAGATTTTGTAGTTATTAGTACTCCAGTTTGCACAGGTTTAAACTCATATATTAAATTGTCATTATTGTTAATTCCCATTTGAAAAGTATTAAAAATCCTTTGTTTTGTATTTCGGCTTTTCTCAAGACCAATTTTAATATTTTCAAAAAGTTTGATTACGCTATATAAAAATTGTACTGCTTTAGTATATGCATTGTGACTTTTTTCAGTTCCATTATCTCCAAGCGCTACTTGAGGATTTCGTGAGGTTATTAATGAAAACCATTTCGAAACCACCTCTATGAACCATGCTGTTGTTATATACTCTTTCTTATCTTTCTGATCAGCTATAAACTTTAATGATGAACTAATTTCTATACTAAGAATCTGTTTCGCTTTGTTTACCTTCATTTTATTAAAACGATCATTTCTCAAATCATCCTTCTTAACTTTCCGAGAGAGTTTAAATATGAGATTTTCTTCAATTTCAAGAAGCTCCTTGAGATGGTCAATTTTTACATATGAAAAATTAATATTATTATCATGCATAACATCTTCTATTATGAAAAGCTTATTGTTAACTAAGTACGTTTTAAGATTTTTTAAAAGATGAGGGCCGTCAGCCAAAAAAAATAATCTTCTGTTATTGTTAATTGGATGCGGGATAGAATTTTCTATTGCAGATCCTCTAGAAACACCAATATGCCAATACCAAATGCTCGCCACATAGCTCGGTTAATTAATCCTATATCCGACGTTATGCTATGGACATATAAACCAATTGCCTCTATTTTTTTAATAAGTTCTAAAATAATAGGTTTTAATTGAGATCCATTACAGCCCTTAGGGGTAAAATAAAATGCAACGACCTGTTTCCATCTTGCACGAATTCCATATAACATGATTACTAATGCATGCGAAGCTTTTTCTAAAAATCGGAAAATTAGAATAGATGATAGAAATTAGGATAGATGATTATTGATTAATCACTTAAAAAACATGCTTAAACCATTTTTACTAATTTCTTACCAATTTCTTTAATTCTTACCAATTTCTCCTTTGCTATTTAAAAATGAACTGTGTCCATACAATGATCGAGTTGATGGATCAAATTGAGTTCCACTTTTAATACTTATTTCATCTAGTGCAATCATAGCATCTTTATCTCTGTCATCTTCAAAACTATTTACTTTTTCCTTTAAGATATTTAAAATTTTTTCACAAATTCCTTGTTCAAAATGAAGTATTTCTAGTTTTTCTTGTAAAGTATTCAATGATGGCAAAGGAATATATTGTTTCAAAAATTCTTTGTATTCACTTGCTCCGCAAGCAATTCTCAGTCGAATTGTTTTTGTAAGTGTTTCTACGGACCACTTTGAACCACGTGTTGATTTCTTTGCCAATGCTTTTATTTGATCATTAGTGAATACTTTTTTAATTATGGAGTACAATTTTGTGTTTATACATAATTGCTTATGCTGATTTCGTTTTTCTGTATTCAGCCTTTTCAAACGCATATTCAACCTATTACATTTTCTTAGAAGAGCATCATACTTATTTTCACGTTTCCGAAATAAATCCTTGAACTCTTCATATTTTTTTCTTCCAATCTATTTTATCATCACGATTAGATGAAGATAAATTCGGTTGATTTTCAATAATCGCAACTACGAAAGATTTAATGGGTTCTTCTTGATAAGCGATAATATCATTACTATTTGTATGCGAAATTTGAGTTCTCATCCATCTCGACAGTTTGCACTGATTGTATTAATTCAGTATTTTGTCCGGATGCAACAACTGTTTCAAGACATAGCTCAAACATATTTGGAATTGCATTACATTTCAGGATTCTTTTACCATCACCTCGTGGTTTTTCCCACATTTCCGGTGAAAAATGAATCTGAAATATAAAAAATAATATTCATTTCATATTATATAAGATATTCAGTATAAGCTGATATTTAGAAGAGTAGTTTAAAGTATCTTTAGATACTATGCAGTTCCTTTCATTGGCTGCAAAGAGAATCTGAAAATAGTTTAATCTGAATTTCAGATAGTCTAATCTGAATAAATATAAGATTTGACTATGAATAGTGGCCTAGGAAATTGGCTGTTCAGTAAATGTAAATATTATACCTCACAAATACAGCTACAATCCGTGGGTATCCAATTCGCTCGTAGAATAGTCACCACCCATTGAGCCCTTCTGTCTGGATTTTTTGGGAAATGTTTCATCATAAATCCTTTAGCAGCCGAATTTTTACATTTTTACATACAACAGCCTGGCATTGTTATCTAGATATTACCTATAATTATTTACTTATGCGTTATAAAGTCATGTACATTATAGGTTAGGAATATGCCTACGTTACAATATTTTCAATTACCACATCAATTTTACAACTTATATGGCATAATATTTTATAATAATATTGAATCATTATTATCTAAATTTAGTAATTTGTACTTATAACATGTACAAGTATCACATATGACACATATGGTGGTCGCCATATTCTTGTAAATGCTCGGAGTTCGCGCATCTCTTACTTGAGGATTTCTAGAATCCCCTTAAGGTACATTGATAATCAAACAAATTATTACTTTAGATCAATGAAAATTTCTTTAAAATTAAGATTTTTTTTAATTTAAAAAACATATTTTAATTTCAAAGAAATTTTCATTGATCCAAAATAATAATTTGTTTGAATATGAGCAAAAAAATATTTCTTTGAAATTAAGATATTTTTTCTCAGTGTATAATATGGTAAAACTTTATATAATATATTATACAAATGCACAAAAAAAAGTTAAAACATAACATCGCATTTTATAATTTTTAATATTCTACATTAATATATAGTTAAAACATAGATAAATATGTTAATAAAAAAATATAATTTCATTTTTAGGATTTTACCCGAAAATGCACACGTTGTTATAAAAGATTTCATTGATACTGGCGTCGAACCAAGCTAATAATAAGTACATAGAAGAATCTTGTAGTCGTATTTCATCAAACTTTCAAAAATTTATAAAAAAAATTTACGAAGAAGAAACTACTATTATGTTACAAGTTTTTCTTCGTTATTAATATTAATACCGTTATTAATATTATGTATATTAAAATATGTTTCATAGCATATTTTATATATAAATAATATATATAGACTTTTGTAATTTTAACAAAGC